GGAAAAATCCAGTAAGCAAAGTTTTCAAAAGTCGATGGGGGCGTTTACTAATCTCACAACTTATTTTTATAATTGTTCCTATCTATAGCTTAGGAAATATGGTAAATACAAACCAAACACAAACAGGTATACAGATATACAGCACAGGTATAGTATAATTGTGATCTCACCTATTCAGTTAAAATCATCATTGATATATTTTTCAAGTGCGAGTTTAACCTCTAGACAGCAACATGGAGAGAAATTCTTTATGCTCAATTACCATATCTTATTAAAATTAAAATTAGAAAAGTGTTTGAAGACCCAACTATAAAAATTTGATATATAAATTGTTTTAATTGATTTGGGGACAGAAAAGAGAAAGTCGTCTCACTATCAAATCAGATGCTGCAAGCAAAATCGACCTGGAAATGATATTACAAAAAGTCACGAAGTTGGAGTACATAATTATAAGCAACATACCAATTTTTAAGACTTGCAAAATCTTCTCGATGAAATGGTTCTGATACTGGTAAGTAACACAAAAATTATCACAGATATTATATATTCATCAAGAATTCAATCAAATTTAACACAACTGTAGACAACTCACTCAAGTAAATAGACCATATATCGAGAAGAATCTATAATAAAATCCTTTCGGAGAGCGTTCACTTACTTTTTCACACACTCTACGAAATATGTGTAGTCCTGAAGCAATCTAAAAATTAATTATACTCATAAGAAATTAAATGTGACTTAAAATTAAATTAATTTCAAATTTTAATTTAAATGTAGCTCTTTCGGGAAATGTCGACACAATCAAGTGCAGAACTGATGAGTTGCCCAATGGCTGATGGGGTAACTATTCTGACTTAGGTTCAATTCTAATTAATAAGTAAACGATCCATAGCCTTTGGATAACGTAAAATAAAACCTAACAAATCTGAATTTAATGGACGCCATCGAAAAAATAATCAAGCAGAAGTAAAAAAAAGGAAAACATCGGAATTATAAATAGAAATTTCCTTATAAAATATTTTTCGATGAGGTTCGCAGAGTTAATGAATATATAACTGCAATATTGATGACTGCTAGAGAAGCGGGATGAGAACATGACGACAAGTAGTGGAAGATCCACCTGAAAATGAAATTAATAACTTATTAAATGAAGAATTAAATGAAGATATTTATAACAGGTTCAATGTATTTCTTCCAATTCTTTGGTAGAGTGTTAACTGTTGCAGAATTCAAAAAATCGAAATCAATTAATTTTTTCCATTTCGTTTATGGAATGTAGTATGCCTTTAAGTAGTGAAAGTAATCCACCGTTTCCAACTTAAAATGTATCAAATTACTTAAATTAAAGAATACATAAGGTATATTTAAACAACCTAATCTCCAAGAGAGATAGTTCTGGACACTATCAGGAAAAAGTACACATTTAATATATTCAAATATACTTAGAGATCAGGAATGTAATAACATTTACTTCTACTTTAAGGATAAAGTTGGGATTGCTGCTGTTCTTAGAAATATACTAGAAATGTTTGACCTGCGAATAATGGCAAGACAAAGTTATTAGGCAGAAGTCGAGACATGTGTCACAAAGAAAGTTTAAAACAACATTTTATGAAATTCGACGGTGCCAGTAAAAAACTCAACGTCTTAGAGTTCACAAAATGAATTAACCGGGTTTCCAATCACACAAATGTACCATATGGTCGTACACAATATCAGATTTTCTTAGTGTGGCTGGGTGTTTTCTATTTGCTAGTGCTATAGCCCAGTATAGTCCAAGGCATTGAAGAGAAACTTGTAATATGTATGAAAATTGGAATAGTGACAAAAACCGTAAGCCCAGTATTTTCAACAATCTTCATATGTTAAAAAATGAGGAAAGGACCTTAACATTCAACGTCATTATAATCCTTATAACCAATTTTATATTACAATTAAATTAGTTTTAAGCAACAAAAGAAATATATTTTTTAAATAAAAATATTTGGTACCGTAATTA